CTTGTCTTTTAATTTACTTTGCACGAAATTCCATTTTCCGTTAAAAGTTAACACCGTTAACTATAGAGGGAGTTTTATGCAAGTTTTTGTAATATAGGGGGGTTTAGTGCATATTTTCTACAATACAAGAGAATTTTATGCAAAAATTAATTTATTTGTTTAAATTTCATTTATTTTCTGAAATTAAGTTGAACACATTTATTCAATTACAATATGAAAATAAAAATTTAATATAATAGGTGTGGTGAATGTTTTTTTAAAAAATCAATTTTTATATGATATATAATTTATTAATGTACGAATTTTGATTTTTTAAATTATATAATTATTTTATTAGAATTATTATATATGTTTATAATTTATTCTTGATTAATTATATGTGAAAAGAACATATATAATTTGAGAATTTGTTCCAACTTCCATCTTCAGTATTATTTTATTAGTTTTTATATTTTAAATTAATAGATATATTCAACTGAATTTAAGAAAATAATTTGAATTTTTAATTAATAAATTAATTTGCATAAAATCCCCTTGTATTGTAGAAAATATGCACTAAATCCCCTATATTACAAAAAAAACTTGTATAAAATCCCCTCTATAGTTAACGGCGTTAACTTTTAACGGAAAAGGGGATTTCGTGCAAAGTAAAATAAAACACAAGGGGTTTTACGCAAGAAAAAAAACACACAGGATTGGACACAAAATTTCCTTAACACATAGGGGTTTTATGTTATTTACCCCAACAAAATCTTACAGCTACACTACAACATTTTAGCCTTTATACGACGCATGTTTTACCTGACGGTTTGAAAACAGTCGTTAAAAAACCGTTCTTGACGCTTTTTGAATCAATTTTGACACATAAAAACCATCGTATAAAATAATATTATTGACGTTTTTTAAACCAATTTGGACAAATAAAAACCGTCAAGAAAAAAACTAATTTTATTTAAAAATAATCTTAAAACTGAACCTGATTTATAAATAAATAAATAGGAAAAAAGTTTCCCAAATTCACTTTATTACTTTTTCTCTTCCCGTCGATACATCTAGAAAAGCTAGGGCTTTTCTCCACCGCCGCTATCGCCGTCGCGGTCGCCACCTCCACCGCTGCTATCGTCGTCGCGTGGCGTCGCAATCATATATCCACCGCCATTGTCGTCTCCATCGCTATCCCCTCCTTCATTGTTGTCTCCATCGCAATCGGAATCCTTTCCTCCACCACCATCGCGATTACCACCGCCACCGCCATCGCCAACGCCACTTATGTCTCCGCTTTCTTCTTGTATTGATTTTTTGCCCTAAAATTTTTGTCTACCTACGTTTTACTTTTTAAACATTTTATTAGATAAATTTGTATTGTTGCCAATGGACTTCATCATTTCTAGACTGCCGAAATTCACTGTCCTCTCTCCTTCTTTAGCTCATTGTCTTGAATGTGCAATAAAAGGCTTCAACTTGGGGATGTGAATGCTGTCTCTATGAGCTTTGGCCCAATTGATTGCTTTCAGATAGTTTGTCAAGGTAAAGTATTAATCCTTTCAATTTTAATTTGATGTGCTTTCTTCAAGCCTTTGACTACGTAGATTTGTTTATTTTTCCTCAGTTTGAAGGACAAAAAATGCATATTATTTTAGCTTTATAATATCTGCAATTTTTGTTGATGAGAATCTTTTGTGTTGCACTTTTGTATTATTATATTTCATGTTAACTTTAAACCATTTTCAAAGGTATGAAATTTATCTTACAAGAAATAATTATCTGATTATAACCCAGATTTACGGATATATGAAGTGTCGTAGTGACCACTGGAAATGGTCGTTGAAGTCATCAATATCAGGAGGTATGCATATAATAGTGTTCTGAATATAATAGCCTTAAGGTCCACAATTCTTTGTTATCATTGAATTAATTTTGGTTGTTACAGGTTGGTCTTATTTCAGGTTGCTGCTCTATTTTACGTAGGAACAACTGAATCTCATCAACCAATATCCGAGCATCTCTTTTATGCGCAAGATTTTGTTGATGAGGTAATTACTGGAGTCTCCGTGTTTCAATCATTTCCGTCAAGATTTATTTGTCTTGGTGTTTTCTTTATGAGTTGATGTACATCATTGCATTTTGATGACTTCTTTTTCCAGTTGAGGATACCTCTGAAATTTGAGTATGTTATACAGGGCTCATTCATCCGAGATTATCATACCTTATCATAAGTTCTCCAAGAGCCCTTATACATTCGTTTTCCTGTGGAATACGGTTTAAAATTCATTTTGAAACAGAAGATTCTTCTGAAAGAAGGTAAGTGTTATAATTTAATCATATGTATGTTCTGTATCAAGAGAAGTAGTTTTAAATAGGTGCAATTGCCTGCAAGATGGTCTGGTTCAAAATGAAAGTGTACTAGTAATAAGTATTTTCTTGATTTTGACTGGACAATTTGATACCCCTTGGTTTTCATGCTCTATATGTTCAAGTACCTTTGCGGATTGATTTTTATATATAATATTTGGTATTATTGATTAATCTTGGGCTCTTTTCATACAGGTAAGCTATAGCATTGATACAAAACCATTATTAATGATAAGGATGTTAACAACTCAAGTCTGAGTGAGGGAGGGATCGTTTCAATTAATATTACCCATTATGAGTAAGATTTTTCTACATCCAATAAAAGCTACATAACCAGTTTGCAAGCTTCGTCTATAAACTTCGTCATCCATATATTATCTCTTTATCCAACTCAAGTGTTTGGTCAATTTCTTGCTTAAATTTTTGCATATTTGATGATTAATTCTCTGAGTAAGGTCTAAATTGGATGATTCAAGAATTCTGGCCTTGCAGGGCAGGCCCTAGTGCTTTTTTTAATGGGAGAAAATGTTTAGACGGATACAACTTCAGTTTCTCCAACATCAGTCTAGGTAAACAATATATTATTCTTAACACTTAATTACTAAAGTTCTATTTAATTTAAACTAATATTGTCATTTATTTTCAGACATTGAGTATGCCCAGCACTAAACCAGGTCATAGTTATCGCCATCGTTGCTCTAATTCTCTTATGTTCATTTTATGGCGTTATATTAAACTTTCATCTTTTATGTTTTGTGATTTTTTCATGATTTTTAATATCTTTCTTTATATACTAAACTAAGATATGCAATTTTTCCAGATTTTCACATGTTTAGAAGGTTTTATGGCCTCTCCTAAGAGATATCTCAAGGCTTGACAACACTACATGTTAATCAGGTGAACCTTCTTTAGATTCTTTATACTTTCTTCATAATACAATTTGATTTATTTGTATGTTATTTCGTTTAAGTTTAAAGTGATCTACCAGTAGATATATTGTAAATATATTTTCTGGTGATGGAATAACTTGTTTTTTTCTCTAGATTGTACAGGAACACATTGTACATGGGAGCATGGGATCAAGGACACACATGCCACTAATTAACCAAATTTAATTAAATTCAAAGTTATTAACTTGTGTTGTTTTTGTTAAACTGAGATGTATAGACTTTAGAAGTGAATATAAGTGTTGTTTTAACGATAATTTTCGTGAAGTTTGGTTTTGCATACTTTTGGAAAACAAGAATTCCTGTATTTGGGGAATCCTAGTGATTTTTAGCATTTGTATATGTTCGTGTTGGGAAATTATAATAATTTTTGGCATGCGGTTACATTTTATAATAGGTTTCAGTATTAATTCGAAGAAAATATTGAAAAATATATACCAGTATTTATGACGGTTTTCAACTGTCGGGAAATGTATTCTTGACGGTTTTCAAAATATGTATGAGTATTTACGACGGTTCTCAAAGCGTCGAGAAACATTATTCCCGACGGTTTTTTTACACGTGGAAGTATATACGACGGCCTTTTTCTTGACGGTTTCATGACGGTCGAAAACCGTCAAGAATAATGCTCCCGACGATTTTTCTACTTTTCCCGACGATTTTTTACAATCGCATAAACTATAAAGCCATAAATGTTGTAGTGCAGGTTGTTATAGTATTCTGATATATTATACATTTTAACATCCAATATTTTTAGTGCGATAGATTTAGTACTAGACCTTCAAGTATTTCTTATTTTGTCAAGTGTATTGTGTTTTTTTTAATAATTGATTCTAACTCTATAATTGGATGTGGTTTAGTTTAATGTTTAGTTTGTCAACAAGATGCATCCATTGAACTCATACAATTATTTTTTAGATTTATTCTAATATTCAATATCTTAACTATATTATTTGTACTTATACAATTTTTTTTTAGGAGTTATATGAGATAACCCCCTTATGCAATTCCCTTAGAGGTTTAAATCCATTTTTAAATTTACTATTAGGGATAACCCCCACTTAGCATAATACCTTATTTACCCCTATTATATTCATAAAAAATATTAAAAATTAATATCAATTAGATTAATATATGCAAACACCCACGTTCAGTTTTTTTCTTTCGATTTCATTTAAATAAAAATTGATTTTTTTATTTCTACTTTAAAAAAATAGTTATTTATTTATTATTTTTAGTTTTTCAATTTTTTTTATTTGTTTATTATTTTTAATTTTCATTTTTTTAATATTAATTTTTTTCCGGTTTATTCTTTTAATTATTTTTTTTTATTAATTTTTTTCACTTTACCAAATTGAAATACACTACACTTATCGAATTTCACTATATATAAATATTTCGAAATTTAATGAAATACTATAAAATTAACATAATCCATTATTTTATTGCCTGAATTTGAAATCCACTATTCATTTTATAAATTTGAAATCCACTATTCACTGTTTGAAATCCACTATTCACTGTCTGAATTTGAAATCCACTGTTCACTGTATGAATTTGAAATCCACTGTTCACTGTTCGAAATCCACTATTTAATGTCGCGTGTGTATTCAAAAATCACTATTTATTGTAAGCGCATCGACACCCCTCCTCTATTGCTCGCGCTGCGTCAGGTATATTTTGTTTGAAATCCACTACAAGTTCATCAAAAACACTAAAAAAATATAGAAATTCATTACAAAAGATCTACTTTACAAAGAGAAAATCCACTAAAAACTTGCCTAAATCCACTACAAAAGTCCCCTTTAATAAACAATGTCATCGCTTACAATAGTAGATTCACCCGGGCATCACCCAACCTCGTCCCACTTGTTGCCATCACTCCTTGTGCAAGAACCTGAATCAAAGAAAAAAAAGACAAACAACGTGTAAATTTAATTCTTTCAAAACAAAATCGGTCTACAAAGCAAGAATTTTAAATCTACTACAATATCATCCAAGCCCACTACAAAAAAATATCGAAATCCACCAAAATATTAGCATAATATCCACTATGAAATTAACCTAATCCACTACATAACAATTACAAAAATATTAATGTAATCTACTACGAAATTAAACTAATTCACTACGACAAATCCTTTTTTTCAAAGACAAATTTGAGTTCAATTATATCTAAATTCACTAAAATAGTAATGTAAACCACTACGGAATTAACCTAATCCACTACAACAAATCACCTTTTCAAAGAAAAAATCTAATTCAAAATAAAAATCACAATCTAATTACAATCAAATTATTATTTTTAGTTGAAAATCATGATTATTCATAGTTCAAGTCAATATCTCCAAATTTGTGCGTTCCAATTGAATACGATATTAAATTATTTATTATTAAAAATTGTGCGTTCCAATTTATTGAATAAAACAAATTCAATAAAAACTGAAAGGCTTCGAAAATCAAGTAAAAAAATAGAACAAGAAATAATTAAAATTCTCCATACTTTTCAAATTACCCGTACATCTCGTCGATCCCATCACAAAAAAACACAAGATCTTTCTGTGCCGTCTGGGAAGATGGAGATCTCTGATCTAGAGGATGAAGGAGCCGCGACGACTGATGTGATGGAAGAAGAAATCGCTGCTACTGTTGAGGAAGAGAGGGTGGCGCTGATGTTGAAAGAAAAAGAATCGTGAAACATCGTGTGGTAAGATTAGGGTTGATGTAATTAAATTATTATAATTTAATATTAAATTATAGGTTTTGTTAAATAGAAAATTGGATCTATACAAGGAAATACTTAAGGGTATTATGGAGAGATCGTAATAAAAATAGTTAATAAATAAGATTTGGGATTTATCACAAAAAGGGAAAAAAAAATTGGGTCTCCACTAACTATAAAAGGCATATGGGGGGTTTTTCTCAAATAATCCCTTTTTTTTTATCATTGACAAGTGATTATAATTATACGTATTTTTATTTATGAAATTATAACAATTAGAAGTATATATCCTCTTTTATTGTCTGTAAACTTATTCTTGGGTTCTAAAATTTGCCTTTTGATTGAAATGTATTGGGCATATTTAAAATTATCTAAATTTGAAATCATGTAGAATAAACTCAACTTCTTAGGCATCTCCAATGGAGTAAGCAAACTACATTTGGATTCAAAATATATAAATTGTGGAAGAAAATTCAACACCAACAAGAAATTTAGTGATTCTCTAAATTTTTAGATTTTTACATAATGTCTAGGGATGGCAATGGGTACGAGTTAGGCGGGTCTTGGACCCGGAACCGACCCGTTTGGGGCGGGTCTGGGTCAGCTAAATGGTTTTGGGTCGGGTAATGGGTTTAAGTTTCTAGAACCGGATGGTTCTGGATCGGGTTACGGGTCTTATTGGAACCGACCCAGAACCGACCCGTATATATATATATAATTTCGGATTTCATTTATCAAACTATCAGTTTCCATCTTGTCTATTCTCATTTACCTATTTTCACTATTTTATTTTTTGAATCTCATTTCTCGTGGGTAATATTTATCATTTGTCGACCACCGCTAATTGTCTTGCATTTTGAATTTTACTTATTATCGAAGTTAAATATAATTAATTGATTTTATTGTTCATGTTATATAACTTGTAGAGATTTTTTAAAATATTGTATTTTAGTATTGAGATTATTTGGTAAAAATATACAAGCAAAATGTTATGAAAATCAAAAAATATTAAACTTTTTGAATGTTAACGGGTCTAGCGGGTCAGAACCGTTTAGTTAGGGTCTGGGTTGGGGCGAGTCTGGGTGTAAGCTAAAACGGGTTGGGGCGGGTCTTGGGTTTTAATATTTTTCGTAGGTCGGGTCTTGGGTTTGGGCAAACCCGGCCCAGAACCGACCCGTTGCCATCCCTAATAATGTCCAAACTTATTTCTAAATATAGGACTTTGTTTGGAGACTCATGTGTATTTCATGTGACTTTGTTTAGGGACTCAAAATTATAGAGCGCTCTGCTGGTGGATAACCTACACGCAATTGCACGTATCGTACAAGTAATATAGTGGACAATTAAGTCCGGATATCGAACCCACATGGAATATTTAATTACTTAACTCTAGGCGCTAAATTCTAGCAATTATTATCAAGTCCACCCTACACAGTCGACTTTATAGAGAAGTAACTACATTAAATTAAATTAAACTAATTAAGCAAATTAAAAATGCAAAAACAAGAAAGCACTTTAAACACGGAGATTAATCAAAGTAGACAAGCCTAGGATTTTATTCTCCCCCCTATGTGATTATTACTTCCCCAATTCCTTCAATTATACAAGCAGTTAACCCTGATTATTAACCTGAGATGCTAAATTAACCATAACCCGCTTCCGCGTATATTACGATTCTAATACTCTAGATTCAATTATTGTATTCATAGAACACAACATTTAGCACAAATCTCAATAATGGCTACCCAAGAGATTAACTATATTCCTATGTTTAATACCACAAAGGTTCTTCGACCACAGTTCTAATTATTAATCCGATATTCCGATTCATGCAATTAATAATAACATAAAAGCACATAAAGTGGTCAGTTTCATGAACTTAATAAAACAAGTACAAGAAATAATCTGGAATTAAAACTTGCATAAAATCATAGAATTCAGTTCATAAATCCCACATAGGGTTTCAAATAAAATCCTAAAAATAAGAAAATTATGCTACTCATGATTAAAGTAAAAACGCAAATAAAATAAATCATAAACGATAAATCTTTGCTTGGAGTCTTCGAATTCTTCGTCTTCGTTATTGCTTTGTTGCTCTTGAAATTGCGTAAAAGATGGATCCCCAATTGTGTGCTTGGCTTGGTCTTATATAGAGTGGAAAACTTGGGGAAGAAGGCAGTTTCCTTGTGCAATTAAAATCCCTTCACTGCATCTCATCGTGATCTCGGACAGCCGTCCCACATTTTGAACTAAAACTCAGACGGCGGTCCGAGCTTTAAATCTTCAGAATTTTGACTTTTTCACTTTTGGCCCATATTTTCTCCAAAATTACATTTTTCACCCCATATTTTTCCAATTCTTCAATTTGTACCTAAAATACAATAAATCAACTTTTTAAGCACCAATTATCGTTAAAACAAACCAAAAGCTCAAATAAAAAGGTACGATAAAGTGTAAAAATATACACTTAAAACCCTCCATTATGAGATTTTATTTTTAGAGACACTTAAGATTCCATCGGGTCTCCATACGGGTCTCCAAAGTAGAACTTGGAAACCCGATTTGCTTACTCCATTGAAAATGCCCTTAGGAAGAAGTTAGGATTTCCTATTTATCACGTCAGATTATTTTTAACTGTAAAGTTTAAACTTTTAGTGAAATGTATTATTTAATATTAATATCTCCAATAGATGTAACGACCAACAACACCGAACTATCAACATCAACAACAGCGCCTGAAGGTATAGAGGTGTACGGCATAGGCCATGGGGCAAATGGGCAGCATATATTATTTTTTGATTTTTATTTTTTTGAAATATCATGCCATTCGAGTACCGAACACTAATCAAACACAAAACAAATAAAGATATAATTCTTTAATTAATGTATATATATCTTTATCAGACTTTGAGTTATTTTAGATATAGCTGAACCTAAAACAAACTAATACTCAACTATTAAAGTTTATATTTAAAAATAAACTCACAATTAATTTAAATATTTTATGTACGTAACGGTAAGAACAAGATAACTCCCCGCATATCATACATAATGAGAAATAAATTACAAAGTTTGACATAAGAGAAAAAATGAAAACAAAAGAATTGAAACCCCATACACCGAATTCTTAAAAAGTCCAAGCATTTTCAAATTTAGAGAATTATTCAGAAGTCCAAACATTTTCCAATTTAGAGAATCATGGAATATTCTGAATGTGTATATAATGACAGTTGAAGCAAAGTTACACTTTCATCGACTATTTTTCTTTTGAGGACGAAAACATTAACGACAAGATGAAAGTTGTCATTAACAAGGTTTTCACTTCATGTGTACCTCAATTTGTTTTAGAGATCAATTTTGAAAATCCCCATTCGCACTTTGTTTCGTTAAAATGACACCTTAGTTTACTCGAAAATAAAAATATTCTAAAATCTGATTAGAGAAAAAGATGGTGAAGATGATATCAAACTCCCAATTCATAATTTATGTCTAAAGAACTAGTCTCAAGCATGACCAAGTATACACAAAAATGGTAAGTGCCATTTTTTCTTTACTGTAGGATTATGATTTTATTTCCAAAAGCAATATCATAAATAGTACACCATAAGCCTTTTGAGGACTACAAACAGGATCGAGAAATAATTAGCAAGATACCATTTGTAATCTTCGGCTTCAAATTCTCTAGTTTCGTACTTATCAATCCCATTCAATAAAAATAACGAGAAATGTCTATTTTTTTGTCATAAAATGTGCAGGCGAAACATCTCTCGTTTTCACAATCAATTCTGAGGAACCAAATATACTATGTTAGTCATTCTCATCAAGTTAAGACAAAAAGCACTTAATATTTTTTAATTTTATTTTTTGCATGAGAAAATAATTAAGTCTAATTCAAGGCGCTTAAACATTTAAACACAAACGGAGCCAATTCTGAGACTCTAGAGGCCCAAAGCATGTTTAGAAATATGGTCATTTGTCACACAATTTTTGTTTACAAGTTTACTTGGTTTACAAATCAAATTCTACTTTATATATAATACCCCGATACGTCTATCTAATTGATGATATGATTGATTTAATACTATGATTGAAAGTGGTTTTGTAGAGCATTTTATAGTCTAGATACATTTTAGAATGTAAGTATAATTGAGAGTTCATAGAGAGCTACTAGAAATTTTTACAACTTGGAGACAAGTTCCTACCTACAAGTGGTCTACTAATGGCTTTTCTTTTGAGCTAGTTTGGTTATTCTAGTGATAACCTCTTTAAGAGACCAAATATCATAAAACTTGATCCAATATAGGTGGATCGTCACACGGAGGGGCTAGTTGACATGAGCGAGAACAACTAAAAAATAAGTGAGAAGGAACAAGTATACGTTGCAAACGGAAAAGAAATGAGAGGAATTAATTTAGGCTAGTACAAACAAATTATATGAGTAGCATTGTGATATATCATCTCGCAACGCTCCTCCTCCGAAAGAGTCCGGTATGCCTCAGAGTCGCGAGGGAAAACAATAACTCGACATGCCTTGGTAGCTGTTGGGCTTCTTGGTACTAATAAAGTTTAAAACCGGGAAGAGGATGAGGAGGACTCAAAACCTATTGGTAGGATCACGACATGTTTTCTTATTGTGACTGATATTGGTTTATTTTTCTTCTTCGGGGTGCACTTAGTCGAAGGTCGGAAATAAAGAACGATATGGGATGTAAATATGGGAAGGGCTCGAATTTCTTAACACCATACAACTCACAAAATTGCAAAACATGGGGAAGATCTTTCAGGTCTGATTGGTTCAAGGAAAATATCAGGTAAATATCATGTAAAATAGTTTTCTTGTTTGGTTGATAAGTAAAAAACTATGTAAAACAATTAAAATATGGAAAAATAATTACACTAAAACAAGG